AGGACAACAAATAATCATACAGGGGTGAGAAACTGAAAGAACAAAAACAATGAATACTACAACTTCTAGTTTTTAAAGTTGACTTAGAATGAATCAAACTCGCTTTGTTTCTGGCACATCACTGAATTCTAACTCGGCAAGCAAGACACATAGAACTGTCAACTCCCACAAGAATCGCAGAAGTTGAATAGCTGGGGTTTGCTCTTACTGCAGTAAGTTTTTCCAGTCAGCTATGTATTTTAAAGCAACAATTTTATGATTTTAAAAATGGAAACAGGTAGAAAGCATGTGGCTTTTCACCATGCACCACTTCTAGTAGCTTGCGCTACTAAATAAAATCGCATTGTTTCCAGAACTTTTACTGAAAGTCAGTCATCTCATACCCAAACTCTGATCATGTACACGGTAATGTAATGTGGGGAGAGGGGAGAAGTGTCCTCCCCTCACTGGTTTCATTTCAGAAGGCCAGAGGACTTCAGTCACAGCGGCACAAATACACCGATAGCCAATATTTCATAGTGAACATACAGGGTTTACTCTGAGTATCGCTACGCAGTAGCTACAGGAGTAATTGAATGTTTTTCTTGTGTAAGTCTGTGACAAAGTTAATCTAAAGGGAACGTTAGATAAATGCTCTAACCCACTTCAGAGATGTCTTCATTTCTTACTCTGGCAAGACAGAAATTCACTGCAAAATACAGCTGGGTGAATTTAATACAGAAGGCATATTGATTCACTGTACTAAGCTTTAAAAAAAAAAAAACAACTTAAAACTATGAAGGTAGGGATCACTGTTATATAATTTTTAACTAAAATCTTCCATATAGAGTCTTAAAAAAAAGTCAGTGTGATTGCCAGAAAAATAAGTACATCCAATTCACAGGAAGCAGTTCTTGCTCAACACTCCTCAAAGATTAGCTCTTGTCTCTAAACTGAAGGCATCTCCTACCTGCTGCCGTGCCATGACTGCATCCGAACGTACGCACAGCTCCCTCCAACACGACCAAACAGATTACTCAGTGGTCAGCCGATGCAGCATACTTTTGTTTCAGCAAATAGTTATAGCATTGCACAGTGACTGGTTGGTCACTAGGATGAGATCATTCCTAACAGCAAACTTTATCAAAAAGCTTTTTGTTGCATGCTGTTGTACTTCAGAAAGTTAGCTTCATCTTACGATTAATTAGTAAAGATGATGTTTTACAGAAAAGTTTTTGTTATTCAGAAAATATTCAGTAGCCTCTCCTCCTTCTTTTTTGCCTACATTCCTACCTCTTTAGATTTAGAATGCTTTTAAGACATTTTTAAATTTTTTAGCCAAATTATTAGAATCATAAGGGGATGACATCTGACAAGGATCAGAGGGGTTTCATAGGGCTTTTTGTTTGGTTTTTTTTCCTTGGTGTTTGAAAGAAGAAATACTTTTAGACTCTAGAACATCACTTCAATTATGCCTTGCATTTATTCCAAAAGCAATGAGAAAGCATTCTCAACTGCCCATACCTGGCCTCAGGCTGAAGAAAAAGAAGAATATGCCAGTATGGAAGCAGGAGGTTGCTACTTTTCAAGGCACCCTTGCTAGTACCTTTTTTTTCCCTCTTCTTTCTTCCTCAATAAAATCCAAATACTGTTCTTGGGGTCCTGAAGTTCAGCTCAGAGGAGCTGAGACACCTACTTTCAAGATATCAGTTCAACAAAGATTACACACAGCCTGCTCCGGTGCCCGATAGGCTCTAGACAGCCAAGTCCTCCATACAAAACTTCATTCAGCGTTTGAAGTTCTGATGTTGTACCCGTCTGAGAGCACCAGCAATTGGTTAAGCCAAATATCCAGTGTATTCTAGATGCACACGTTCAGCATCCTCACATAGGCCTCCAAAGGAACCAATCCCACACATACACTCAAGCATATGAAACATGCACGAACAGCATCAAGCTGAAAGAATACCACAGCATCAACAGTGTCCCCATTTTAAGTGAAGTGGGCTCCACACCTTGGGAGCTGGAGACCCCCGTTCTATTTCCTCCTTGGCCTAAAAGCGTTCAAACCCCTGTACCCCACTTCTGGAAAGCGCGTTACCAACCAATCATTTGCCACAGGCACTTCATGCACAGGGGGTCAGCCTTTACATGTAAGGCAAGCCCAAATGCACAAGTTACAAAGCCTGAAAGACCAGCAAGACTGTCTGTCTATCCCCCTCCCAACCAAGCATTCTAGGTTTTGACTTCTGTTTCAAGAACTGTTTCTGCGTTTCATTCTACATATCTTGCTGGATAAAAACAGAAATATCCTACGGCTATAAGCCAGAACCCATGGCTCCTGACACCTGAGCACCCTATTCGCTCCGCTGCAACTGAGCATGCCATTTTTTTGAACCTTCTTCCAGATCTTCCCCATTATTTTATTCCAGTCACGCAATAATTCTCATCTCAGCGATAAGAAGCAAAAGAAAACTGGATGCAGAACTAAGATTTACCATTGTATAGCACACAACTGAAACAAATTAAAATGCAGTGGCATTTAGTAATGGCTAGATCATAGAAATTAAGAACAAAGACAAAAACTGAAACTCATGTAGCATTTAGGAATCGAATGAAAACTTTATGTTCTATGAAGTGATCAATTCTGCAGATCTGTAGTGAGGCACAGGATGTCTATTCTCAACTCACTTTTCAGAAAGAAACACAGATGCTTCAGAAAGTTTCACCCTGTGGTTGGCTTGTCTCTTCTTTCACCCAAGCATCTGCTGCCTGCAATTCATTTGTCTCTGCAGCCTTTCAGCTTTAGCTAGACAGAATGAATGAGTCAACCTAGAGTTTACACAAAAGAAACGTGAAAGCAAGAGACTGCCTTTAATCAGATCAATCCGGTGAGCATCTTGAACACACTAAACTTTTTTTAAAATATATATTTAAAAAAAAAAAAAAACAGTAGACTAACAGAAAGCAATTTAGTAAAAACTAGCTAAGAAAGAACAATTCACAGGCAATCTCCAGACTAAAAACATGAGATTTGAGTCAATTCCATAAAATACAGTCTATGTCCCTGTTTAGTATATGAAAATGGTCCCTTCTGTATACACACACACCCTTTTTCAGTGTTATGCTTCTGAAAAGTATAATACAAAGCATTTCATCTAGAACCTCTGGCTCCTGTACTTTGAAAGATTAAAAGAAAAACTCTCAGAAGAGATAAGCAGGGACGTAAGAGCGATCAGTGTGATCTGCAAGCTGCAAGTGTGATAAATAGTGCTGAGAGGACAAAGGTAACAGTGGTAACCGAAGATAATCTTTTTTATTTGGAGATACAGAGACTTTTGAGCTGGGTTATTTCCTCAACATCAGCATCTGCCTGTTTACAGATTATTTGCCTCTTGTGAGCAAAAGGCATTTTTTGTTGCAGTAGGTCAGCACCGGCAGTGTAGATGAAGAGACTCTGAAGAAGCTGTATCATGCATCTGAACGCTACACAGAATCACACACGATTCACACACACACGGCTGCAGTACAGAAGCTGCTGATAAACACCTAAGGCTCCAGTACAAATAGCTGAGAGGAGACAGCCCACACTTAACCCTCACCTGAAAACAAGATGATGAATAAAGGACAAAACAGAAAACATGGTACTGCACAAATCCACGTAGATTAATTTTTTGCCTGACCTGTTGTAGTAGTTCTTACATTTTGGTTTTTTTCATATGCTGTGGAAGTGGAGAGAGTAATACTGTCTTGCTGACTAACAAAAGATATCAAAGTAACTAATAGTGACTTATTTCGCCCTACTCCTCTGCTGTTCATGCTGAATTATTTGCTTTTATTTCCCCTCAATACATTCCATTTATTCCTCTGATCTAGCTTTTTTCCCCTTCCCCCAACTCCACAAAAAAGTTTAGGCTTGAATCTAAAGCATTAACAGGGGTGTTGAAAGAAAACTACTTTGAAGGAGTCCAGTATCAGTAAATGAGAAGTGTAGCTGGTGGATATACAGCTTCCCTTTGTAGTCTGACTTCCTTTTATAACACAGTAACATCTTTCAGCTGAATCCAAAGCTTGTGGTTGTGTAACTAGATCCAGCCACCTTTAATTTGAAACTTAAAATAATTTAAGGACAAAACATTGTAGGTCCTCCAAGTCACTTACGAAGTTACCTTTCTTTAAAGGTATGGGTTAAAAATTTAGTATGGAGAACAATACTACTCAAGGTTATCTGTATGTGCTAAGTAAGTTAAAGATAGAGACTACCTCTATTTTATTTCTCTTTTGGGGGATTGTTTATATTTTATTCCTCAATTTATAAATTGTGATGTTTCTTTTAAGTAATACTACAATTGTTGAGAAAAATACATAGTTTTACAGTTCTACAGTCAGGACGCTCTAATGCATTTCAACTTTGAATACATGAAAATAGGTAATCTTTGTGTTACCCCCCTTCACATTTGCAAAATTCGTTCAGCACAATGTTTAATTATTAGAATAGAGTTGCAAAAATAAATCCCACTGAAATTTGATGATATGGTAAGGATATGTAACACATCAGTCTTGATTCCTCCCACTCCCCTTAGACATTCAATAAATTGACATCTCTTCAACTAAAAAAATTACCAAAAGTTAAATTACTGAATACCACAAACATTTACTGTAAAAATATATAAAAAGAACACGTGCATTTTAATTCCATACAGATTTTAAGAGCAAGTTTTGCACTATGTAATTTCCTGTTCAGTTCACATTCAACCATTTGATTACATCAGCACCTCAAAATGATATTAGAAGATGTGAAGCTCGCCAGAGAATTTCATTTGGGAAATGTAACACGCACAGTCAGCATATTTGGCTGCTGAAAAATAAGGCTACAGATAAATTACATACTAGAGAAAATAAACATACCCCAGACTTGAAGGAAGAAAAACAGTTTAATTTTGATCCATCTTGGGCATTTTCAAGGTTTCTACAGGCATATCACAGATGAAAAGCAGTTGAGGGTCCTTTCAGAAACAAACCTGCATAAAGGTAGTCATTACTACATTTTGCTTTGTTCCATGGGAGAGCACCTTGTCTGTGGGATCCAGGAATCTGGTCTTGGTAAACTACACCATCTGAAGTGGAGTTCTGGGATGATCAATGGGCATTTAGGACCTATTAGCACATGACGGAGAGCATTGCTTTCGTTAAGATAGCTGATCAACTATGCCAAGAACATTTCTCAGACAATCTGTGTTCCTCCCACTCCCCAAATGCAATTTCTTTAACAGAAAGCTGACAAAGAAAAGGATTTTAGAAGACAGAGGGATGGTCTCAGCTAATGATTTCAGAATGGCTGGCCAACACCTACAAGTTCAGGCTTTAAAAACTGTAATCCTCAAACTGGATTCCACACATGGACTTATTACACCTATAGAAATAAGTATCTCCCTTTTCACTTCTATACAGGACAAAAAAATTAAATGGTGCCAAAGTTATACCACTGATCAAGAGTACCCTATGTCCCAGAGCTTACCAGCATACTTGAGCTCTGCCAAAAATCTAGATATGTTGACCTCAGAACATACCGCCAAGAGCTATTAACGTGTTATCTACAATACAACATCGCTTTTTCATATATACAATCAGACCGAAGTTGTGGCCCAAGAGAAGTAGATTCCCCCATTTATTTTACTGAAGATGACACTTTGAGGTGTCAGCACTATTGCAAAGCTCAATGCTTTAGCACAGGTTACTGAAGAAGCAGGAGAGAAACAAACAGAACTGGGAGCTAAATTAATAGCAGTCTCATTCCCTCCCCCTCCACCCATATTCCCTCTTTGAGGCAAGGACAGACAAACTGGTACAAAACATGAGAATAGCCTAAGAGAAAACAAATCAAAAACACAATGAGCAAGAAGATAGAAAATTATCTCATTACACAACAAAATGTGAATATCTGGAGTTAATAAATCTTAAATTTCTTTAAGAGAGCCTTATACAAAACCTACAACCAATACTCCAGTTTAAATCCATACGAACATCAGACTTGCAAGAACGGCTGGTCACAGTATGGAGTGTAGCGTGTATGCAGCACTGAATTTGAACTCCTCCGTCTAAGAGCAGACTACGAAGGCTCAGGAAGGTTAGTGACCCCCTGCCAGAATCCAGCTGGCTTCCCTATGAGTCTGTATCACCGCCTCTTAACAATCCCTGTTGAGCAAAAGTGATCTGATTTAGGAATTTCAGTACTGCCCTACCAATAGCATAAAAAGCCAGTTTTGACTACTGACTACTGTGTAATTCTTTGCAAGATTGCCATACTGGTAAGGGGGAACAGAAAATGCAAGTGGAAGAAAGAAATTCTCTAGTCTGGCATTATTGGGGCGGGGAATGAACACAAAACCACACACACAAATTAAAAAAATAACCTACATTCACGTCTTCAAATCAAAAAAGCAAAAGCCAGCATGGCTCTTAGAAGTTCAAACTTGAAGACACATTATGCTTAAGAACAACACAGTGGCTTATGGAGGAGATTAAATGCAGTTTGGAAAGAGTTAAATCTTTTAACAGGAATCCTAGACATGCACTGTACAACTTTGTCCTTAACGTAACCTCCCTTCCGCTGCTCTGACCTGGTCACTCCCTTACATGTATTCTCTCACTTTCCAAAGAGAATTCAAGTTAGTGATATACTCCTGAGCATATTTTCTATTCTCCTGTCTAACAGTCAGTTACCAAAATAACTCTATTCTCCCAGTGTCACTTTTGGACCATTTCCGACTCTCATTATATAACCACGGACCTCTACTTTAAAAGGGAATCTCACTTTATCACAGGAAGTCAATCCCCCAGGGGGGAAAAAAAACAACACAAAAAACATTAAGAAGTCTGCAGTATGTTTAAATAAGACACAGCATCAGCTGATAGCAGCCAGAGTTAGAATTTTTAGGAGCACTGTATTAAATTATGTGCTCCAATCAACCCTCAAACAGCCTTTTTAAAAGGCTTTGAAGCAAAAAAGGAAAACCACCCTACATTCAATACATTCAGAGGGGCTATAAACCGGATTTGGTAGGCAAGGAACACAAATAGGGGAGGAAAACAGCAGCATAGGTCAGATGCGAGTTTAGCTGATACAGATTCAAAGAATAGAGAAGTGGACAGAGGAGTGCAGCAGTAGTAGGGTAGCAGAGTAGAACCTGTAGCACAAACACAGCTCATAGTAATTAAGAAAAAAAAAAAATGCTTTAGAACTAAAGGCATTTGTCAAACGCGTAAGGAGATTTAATGTACAACGTGCCTATCTGCTGCGAGTTGACAAATTCAGCTTTTCTTTAGTGCATCACAATCATTTACTAATCCATCATTACCTGAACGTAATTCTAGGAGATTCTGCCAGCAGAGAGGAGCGTGCATTAACTGCAGACTAGAATAAAATGGAAAAATCCTAGTGAAGTTACTATCTCCAGCAATAACCAGTACTGGATGCAGAAGAGCCTGCAACAGTTACGTTTAGAGACACGTACAGAAGGATGTGCCCACAGGGTAAGTCTTTTAGCAATACCAGCCATTAGTGGTAGTTTGGCAAGTTAAAAAATCTTAGCTGGAGAAAACGAAGCTTGGAATTGCAAGGAGTTTCTTTATGTTCCCCAACTCTTTCAAATTCATATTTATTCATTATAGGAGAGGGAGAGGGAAATCTCATAGAAGCTGCCAGCAAAGGAACACAACACACCAAAATAATATAGAATACCAAGAGTTAGAGAGTTGGTACAGTTTTAAGAACAAGACAACTACTGATGCAACAAAGGAACAGTTGATTTATTTTTTCTTAAACACCATTGACATCCACAGGTCTCAAGTAAATATAGAGCTTATTGGACAAATTTGGTTTTCAGCAACCAGACAATGCCATGCAATACTCTTCTACATTCAGATGTAGAACTATTATTCCTAGTAAAACCACCATTATTTTAAAGGGGAAATATAAGCCTCAAAATGCTACTTTGAGGCAAATTATAGGAGAGATCCTTAAAAGTGAATTCCCAAGCTGAAAATAGGTTGGACTAAAAGCAAATACGCTAGAGTCACATCAAACCAGTGCCAATGCAGATATACATCCCTGTAAATCCAGTCAGTCATTCACCAATTACACCAATGCAACCTACTAAGAGGGTCACTCCGGGACAAATATGTAATCCCCAATGTGACACTTGATCCTATTGCCCTACATGCTCTGTCCAAATCCCAATGCAAAAAAAGTACATTTTACCTAAAAGACCAGTTCAAAAAAAAAAATCCAGTCCTCAGAACACAAGATGGATATATCTTTGAATTCTCATGTTGTAAATGCTTAAATAGGTTAAAATACAGTCTAAAAAAATACAATATGTATGTTTTAAGCATGAAGATATCCTGAAAAAAGTAACACTGCAGATTACGTATGCTGTAGCTTCATATGTAAATGCAAATTTGTTACATAAAACATAGCTTGAGCCACCCACAGCATCCTACAGAGTTCCCATCATCATGGTGTCACAGTAGTACCACTTGATGCATATATTGGGTGACAAGCGTTATGGCACGTCATCCCAAAAGCATTTAATGCGGGATTTAAACCTCAACAATGATCACCAGTTTTACAGACATCCTGGTGATGATGGCCCATCACTTTGTCCGACTGTGTTGGTGTAGGTGGAACCAACTTACACTCAGGAGCTGCACTATGCAAGCCTCAGCAGGAGTGCAGACTCTCAAATCACAAGTACCAATTGCTGTCCCACATTTCCTCCCAAATCTCAAGGTCATTTTAGAGGTTTCCTTTTACATCTCACCTTTCTTTCCAGAGGTTTCTCTCTGCCTTTTCAGGGATAAAAGAAAACATTAGCATACATGAAGTTGTAATCAAAGTAATACTTCTGAGGCTGTGCATCAACAATTTATGTTATGACCTGTTATTGGATTCCTAACATAAATATATTTAAGTTACTACTGCATATCTAGATCACTTTAAAATCCACAGCTCCTGCTATGTAAGAAGTCCGAATTATCTAGCTCTTAACATCTAGAACCCTTTTTCTAATTGCTTTGATTCATGACCAAAGAGAAAAGCAATTCACTCTGACCACAAAAGTCAAAAGGAAGGAAGAGCCGGTGACTCAGTTCTTTGTCTCATTCTCTGCCTCTTGTATCTGCAGAGCCTAATTCGAAGCCTCTGCTGGAGCTGGCTTGTGGATTTTTGTCTTTGGTCTTCCACAGTTGTTAAGTTTCCAATTGCTTTCACTACTATTAGTTAGGTATCTATGGACAGCAGAAAAACTGTTCTGAGATTCCTTCAGACCAGTGCAGATAAGCATAGGGGCATCTTTAAAAAGAGCACTATGCTTAATAAAACTGCAATAGAGAAATAGCCTTTACAGAGTCAGAAGATTGAGACAAGTAGAATACTCAAGGTTTTAAAAAAAAAAAAAACAAACCCCAAACAAAACAAAAAAAAATACCACCAAAAAAACCCACACACACAAAAACACAAGAGGAAGACCGGAAAGGGATGAGAGGAAAAAACCCCAATCAGCAACAACCAAAAGAAAAGTTCCAAACCCAATATTCATGTGTTTCTTGTTAACACCATTTCATCGGAAAGGGAACCTTAGTGTAGACAGTAATCAGGTTACAGGCAGGAATTAAGCACTTAGAACTGCTATGAGTAGTGCTAACAATTATGCTTAAAAATGCTTCCCATAAGCTACTGTTTGCAATAGGGTTTTCCTCAATATTTCTAGCAGCGTTTCGGATCTAGCATCATTAATAATTTCACAGGACTACTCAAGTGTAGATCAAGCCATGCTTACCCACACGGGAACAGCGCACATGAGAACTTCCTAAGCAGACGCCATTAGTCACTGTCAAGAGCACCTACCAAACCAGGTGGACCTTTAGCCCAACCCGTGATAAACAGCCTTCTACCGAACAGCAGACTTCTGCCTCTCAATATGCCTGAAACCCAGTCAAATTTAAACTACTAATAGCTAGAAGCTTAGAAAATGGATGGTACTTTCCAGAGGGGATTAAAGGAAAACTGTCACTAAAGCACAACTTTCACATTTCCATTAACATCCTGGCTTGCCT